AGCCATTCTTGGCTCAGAGGTACCTAAAGGACAGCTTGTCTTTGGGGGAGGGACTGAGGGCAGAATGGATGAGTGAGTAACAGAAAGACTCTAAACAGGCTTAAAAGGAATGACTAGGAATGTGGCCATTGAGGACATCATTCTTAGGACTCAGGTCTTACTCAAAGGCAGTGGTTCTCAACCTTCTTAATAATGGGACTCTTTAATACAGTTCCTTATGCTGGGGTGACCCTCAGCCATAGTACTTTCATTGCTACTTCGTAACTATAACGTTGCCACTTTTCTGAACTGTAATGTAAATAAACTGTAATGTAAATATCTGATATGCAGAAAACCTGATATGCAACCCCCCTGAAAGGGTCCTTCGTTACCCTTTACCACCGCCACTCCCCCACCCGCCAAAGGGGATGCCACCCACAGGTTGTGAATCACTGTTCTAAGGTAAAGTGACTGGAGTGGTTTGTTTGCACATGGAAATAACATAATTTCATATATGCTCTTAAATTTCTGTGGTCACTTCAGAGGGTGAACCGAGAGGCCATTTGGGGCTCTGTGCTAGACTCTAGATGGTGGCTTGGATCAGGGTGTTAATCTTGGGAATGAGGGACAAGGAACTTGAAGTAGATATTGGAGGCATAATTAACAGGAGTTACTCAAAGCTTAGGTGAAAGGGGTGTATGGTAGTGAGATAAAGAGCATGATTATCTATCGATCTACTATCTATCTCTATCTATCTATCTATCTATCTATCTATCTATCTATCTATCATCTATCTATCTAAGTAGATGTGAATTTCAGATTAACAATGGGTGATTCTTCAGTGTATGTCCCTTGTGATACTGGAATCATTTCAGCCAGAGAGTTTTTAAAATGTATTTATTGATAGAGATCCACTCAGAGCAAGTCAGTGGCAGTCTTTGCAGCAGTGCCCAACACTTAAATTTCACACCTCCTGGCCAGCCTATGATGCAGCCTGGGACCAGAAGAAAGCCTGCAAAAGAAAAAGCCATGGCTGCAGGCAAGGGGTGGGACATCCTGACTGTATCCACCACACTGTCACTGAGACTTAGGCTCTACACTCAGGACTGTCAGCCTATTCTTTTTCACTGAGCTTACTGATTTCTGACAGATGGGAATATGTAGGTGAACCTCACACAGCTCTACATTGGTTTGGGACTCTTTTTTTAATGAATGCCTTACAACAATTCAGTATAACGGAAAATGCAGACATTAAAAAAGAGCTGTAGGCTAACCGGCTGTGACTATCCTATGTTGTTTCACCCACTGTTCTTGTTTTCATTATGACTTTCTCTAAAGCTAGGAATCTGTAAGTAAGAGGCATGAGGTGCTCCCCCCCAACACACATAGTAGGAGTCATGCCTCCATTTCAGCCTTGCAGCCTACCGCCGTGCTGGTGCGTCCATGTGAGCCCTGGATTGCAGACACAGAAGCCATTTTCCAGCGAACGCCTTGGATTTCATGCACACTGTCTTCTTTCCCACTTTTAATCATGTCAGGAAGTAGTGGCCCTGGGGTGGTGGCCAGGGGACTTTGGGCAAGTTATCTATTGTCTGAAACTTCATTTCTTCTGTGGAAAGCATATAGAAAGGATAAATATCCATTATTATGTGTATGTTTGGAGGGTACACATCTCTCTGCACATAATATGGATTTTTGAGAATTCAGTGTGATAAAGCAGGTGTTTAGTCTGTGGTCCCTCATTTGTGAGGTGACTCTTTAGTTTTGTTCATCCATGAATCCTAGGGTGATGACCTAAGCTTGAAAGCAATTGTCACCCATCTAATAGATGAGGTATATGGTTCAGTTTTAACTTACAGAAGGTCCCATGATCATTTAGTAATGGGATTGTGTTTAAGCGTTTCGAGCATTTTGAACATAGTGTCTTCTTGGCAGGATTGATCCTACAGGGCCTTGCTCGGGCTTTATGAGCACCCTACCCCTTCTCTACCTCCTCAAACCTTCAGGGTCCCATCATTTTCAAATGACTTTCAGGGCCAGCCTCTGGGAAAAAGAGTGTCTGAGATGCCCACCCACTAAACATGGTGTGGAAACCAAATACTGTCTTTTTCAAGGAGCCCACCAAGGTCCCCACCCCACCACCAACCTCCATCCTCTACTTTAACTAGACACTTTATCTGATTTCGCCTTATAAAGCCCAGTTTCTTATTTTAAAAAAATATCATTTCTTACTTTTTTTTTTGGTTTATCATTTCTATGTGTATTTCCATGGGGATAGGAGCTTTTTAGTACTTCCTTGTCCAGTTTGGATTGTGTCCCCAAGGAGGCTTATGCAAAATCAGAGAGAGGAGTCAGAGAGGAGCCTTGGAAGGAGGGGTTTGCCTGGCACCTGCCTCCCTCCTGTGGGGTGACACTGAACCACCAGCGCTCTCTGCTTGCTTTCTATTGCCATTGTGCTGACAGCTGGGAATCCGAAAGGGCTGATTGTTTCCATTCTCTAGATGCTCCCTGCTAATGAGAAGTCACAGATTAATAAAAGGGGACCTTGGATTGAAATCCTAGTGCTCATACTCCTAGCTGGGAAACTGAGGCCAATCACTTAGCCTCCCCCATCCCCACTTTCCTCATCTGAGAATTAGTGATAACAGTTCCTGCTTCTCTCCAGGTGGGCTGGGGATTAATTACATATGGTGGTGAAGCACATGGAGACACTATCTCAGCTTTCCAGTTCCAGAGAACCTCATTCTTGAGCTGCTGTGACGTGTCCGGCTTCTGTCTGGGCTCTGTGTGAGGCCCTGTCCCAAAACCTTATTTGCTTTCCTTCACTCTGGCAAAGCAGAAACCTCCGAGTGTAGCATTTGTCCTTGGCCCCACGGAAATAGTAGCAGTTTCCTGTCCTAGCCATGGAAAAGGCTGCCCTGATACTCCATTCCCCGAACATGGGTTCTGCCTGGCTGCCTTGGCTCCAGGAAGGCATGTCAGGTGAAGTATATGGCCATTCTTGTCCCTGAGCCTGGTGCCCTCCTTCCAGACCTGCCTCTGACTCCTCTGTAGTGACCTCTCCCAACCCTTCCACCCTCCAGGACTTCATATATAGTGTTCTTGGGCATGTCTCACATCCATGCTTGTGCCAATTGTGGTTAGTTTTTACTTTTCTGTTTTTGATTTTTATTTTGAGGACTGGAACTTGCTGGCCTCAGTCTCACAGGGATCTCTGTCTCTGCCACCCACTGTGGCATTTATCCTATTTCTCACATGCTGCCTTTAGGGCAGTGTGTTCAAGACATCGCCTTACATGTAGGTATTAATAACCATTTTTTGGCTAAGCAAGATTGGACTTTGTCATTTTCATTAGGGTTGGGAACATTCTGATTCCTTATATTGTCCTCATGGGGTTGAAAGGCATGACAATTGGGAGAAAAAAAATTGAGAGATATGCGAACTGGGCTATATGTGAGAAAGGAATTTTACTTGCCGATGATATTGGGCAGCAAGTTCTTTTCCTTCAATCCCCGCAGCTGACTTCTTTGTTACTTTCTAAGAATTTAAAAGTCAGGAAGGTTTTGCAAGTATCTTTCTGGTTGTCTCTTTAAAATTACACCCCTGGCTCTCTGGCAGAGCCGTTCTTTTACTACCCACATTTCCTTTCTCGCCAGGGCATGGAAGAGAAGCCACTTCTCACTGCCAGACTCACATGCGCTGAGGCAGCCTTTTGTTCCCCACACCACACTGGTGGTTCGCAGTTGTCTTCCCTCATACCTCACACGGAGTCAAGTCTGCAATGCCTTTGTTAAAGCTCTTGTATATAAATGATAATAAAACGGTGGCTGTTTTGGTCACGTGAAAATGTAAATGCCACACAAAACCCTAAATATCACATCAGCCTGTGACAGGCGTTCTGATGTATTGGCAGGAGCCCTTGCCTGGAGCTGAGTTTGACAGTCTTTACCTAGTGATTTTTCTAGATTTGCAAGGCATCTTTTTCCTTTGACAACCCTTCTTATACTTTTTAAAGCTATTCCTTGAATGTCTTTTTTTTTTTCTTACCCAATCAAACAGTAAATTGGTTTGTATAATCTAAACTTGCTAATGGAATGCCCTCTGACTCTGTGGCCTTTTCAAGCCGTCTGTCTCCAAATCATCATCCGAACATAGTGATTTGTGAAGTGAAATGTGTATAATTTCATTCCAAGTGAAACAGTTTTTAAAGAGAAACTCCAAGAGAACTTTTTAGATTTAATCTGAAAAAAAAAAATGCAACGTGTACTTCTAGCTGTGTTACCTTTCTTTTGTTCTAAGATGACAGAGGAATAACAAATTCTACTTGGGTGACCATGGGAATCAGACATCTGAATCCAGTGTTAAAGTTTACAGGACAATAGCTTTGTGGGTAACCAAGCACAGGCTAGCAGTCCTGCTAGGGACCTGGTGTCTTATTGCTCTTGGACTCGATTGGCAAACCTGCTGAAGGACTGCGTTGAGTTCCATTGTCCTTAGCTGTTCCCTTGACAGTAGATGTCTACTAAGAACTCATCTTGAGTTTGGCAATGTTTGAAATGACAAAAAAAACAAATTTGGATAGGTAGACTTTGGCTCCTCTCACTGTTTTTTGTTTGTTTGTTTGTTTTTTCCTACCAAGAATAAAGAGAAAAGCAATAGTCTTCTGTTCTAATCTCCACGCACAAAGCAGGGAAAGGGAAGAAGCCGAGTTGTGGTTTTCTAAGACTGTAGGGGAGTAACATATTGACGACTTTACAAGCTGCCTCTGGCCATACTGAATCAAGCTTTCATGCTTGACCCTGTGGTGCCTGATAAATGTTTGTTGAATGTCTATTTGGGGATGAACTGCTCCCACACAGTGTTGTGCCAACACTTGTAACTGGCCTTATGCTTCCTGACTCTCAGAAAGCACTCATGGACAGGCTTTCCTATGGGGACCAATTTTCAGATTTAATTTGGACTTAGCTGAATTTTCTTTTTTCACGTGGTGACCTTCCATTCTGCATTTCAATTATCCACAGGTCTTCTTTGATGTGAAGATTGGAGACAAAGATGTGGGTAGAATTGTCATTGGCCTCTTTGGAAAAGTGGTACCCAAGACGGTGGAAAACTTTGTGGCTCTGGCAACAGGGGAGGTCTGTCCCAGCCTTATTGACTTTAGCTGAGCACAAGTGTGGATCTTCCTTAAGAAAAAAATACAAAGATATCTTCTGGAAAAATTGGAATTAATATATCAGATGAGTGTGTGACACCTTATACTTTTGTTTTCTTATAATTATTCGGTCACTCAGTGTCCTTAGGTTTCTAGAAATTGAGAGGAAAACCATCAAATGAAAATACAGACTGCTCTTTTTATTATTTCTATTAATACTTGATTCCTATACGTCTATTATTTTGGACAGCTAATGGTAAACATTCCCTCGTACATAATTACTAGAACATAGTCAAGCTCTATAGATTTTCAAATTTTCTCATTTTCAGGTAAACACTGTTCATCTTCAATAAGGGTTGTTTCTACTTGTGTATTTAATTGAAATCATTTCTTTAGAAAGGCTACGGGTATAAAGGAAGTATCTTCCATCGAGTCATCAAGGACTTCATGATCCAAGGAGGGGACTTCACTGCTAGAGACGGCACCGGAGGTGACACTGTCTTTTGTGTTTCTCCTTTCCTATCTGGGGATAGGGTTTCTCTGTGTAGCCCTGGATGTCCTGGAACTCACTATGTAGACCAGGCTGGCCTCGAGCTCAGAAATCTGCCTGCTTCTGCCTCCTGAGTGCTGAGATTAAAGTCATGCACCACCATGCCCAGCTCCCACTCCAGTCTTTAAGAAGGATGGAGTTGTAGAGCCCTAGTCCCTGAATCCTAGCAAATATGAACAAGAGAGGTGTTCCTGAGGTTAAGCAGGGTTACTTGATTGCTCATGGGCTTACACAGTATAGAGACAGCCATTTCGCAGGGTATTTTGCAGGCATTTCAGGCATTTCAGTATGTAGAGGACAGAAAAACGTTTGCCCCAGAAAGTGAAAACTAAAGATGTACCTGCACTGGGTGTGGAGGAGGAGTCAAAGGACACCACTGGAATGTTGGTGGCAGATCATGGTGAACTTTTGCCTCTTCTATCAAAATTGCTTTCTTTAGTGGCTGGCCCTTTTAAGAATACAAAAATGTTTAAGTCGTAGCTGAGCCATCAACAATATAATACAAGCTAAGTTTTATAAACAAAGTTCATTAAAAGACAAATACTTTGATTTCTAGTTTCAAACTATACTTTGTTATGTCTCCGAGGGTCATGATTGCCCAATTCCAGAGAGTGAGGACAGTTCTTCAGAACACTTCTATCCAAGCATCTAGACAGAACTTAAATCTGCTTTGGAACTAAATGCTGGTTTTAGTAGATATTAGTGGCTAACTTTTCGAAGAAGCTCTTAGGCTGTTTTCAGATTTTATTTTGACTTTATATTAACAAATGGCTTATTTATTTAGGCATTGCCATTTAGCTCTTCAGTTAACCATTCACGTTTTGAAGATTGAGTTTTAGTTCTTGCAAAAATACAAAAGGTGGGGAAATGCAGCTCAGTGGTAGAGCCCTTGCCTGTCATGCACGAGGCCTGGGGTTCAGTCAACCTCCAGCACCACAAAAGAAGCAATCAGTCTTATCAAAGTGGCCCAGGGTGAGAAGTGCAGGGTAGAGAAGAGAGATGCATGTAGGTTCCTCTGGGATAAGAGTTGCTGAGACCCATGCAGAGAAGCAAAACAGCAACACCTGACCCCAGGCAACTGTGCAGCAGGCTCTAGCACCTGTGCCCTCACTCTGCACCTGCTTTCTTACCAGAGTGAGTCCAGCAGGGACAGTGACAATTTTACTTTGCCCTCTTTTCTGTTTTTATTCTTTCGTTTGCCTTCCCTGCTCAGTGTGTG